AAATGGCTTTTATGGTAGTGGTACAGATGTAGGATCTTCATTTGAGCCAGTTTGCTACAGCAGGAAAAGTATCCTTCAGAAGCAGGAAATGTGAATTATTATGTGGATTATAAATAATGTACATTGTTGAAGGGGTTGATACATTTTTCATAAGGAATATCAAGTCTCAAATTTCAAAGTGGAAATTTCATAGTTGTCCTGCAACAGGGTGATCAACTTAAGATCCTACATCTGTACATACGATGACTTGATTGGCCATAGTTTCAGAAAATGACTATATGGAGGGGATTGATATTCTTATGCTATGGTAGCTGGCAAGATTCCACATGTGAAATTATAGGCCCACGTAGGCACATTCCAACTGAGATATTACTCCAGTCTGAAAAGGATGAACATTCACAAAGAAACCAATTAATAAAGCCTAAACTCAGATGAGAACCAAAGAAATGAATTATTATTTATTTCTCATCTCTACTGTTGCATATTCCCTGTTTTTCATATTCAGATCACGCTCACTTGGGTTTGAGTGATCTGTAGAGTACTGTAGAGATCTGAAGTTCTTAGCTATGGGCCTGAACTTGACAATGCACTTGGCTAAACTATTGTAAGGCAGATAAACACTGTCACTTGAAATGTAGAATAAATTAAGATTTGTGCTGAGTAGAGGAGTCTGCATTAGACACAAAGCCCGCTGTCTATAAGAACCTCTTTCTTTTTTAGAAGTCAAATGTGTTTGAAGGCTCTAAAGCGAGGCCATAGTTCCTGGACGGGTCATTTGCTGCTTGTGCTTTGGCTACATACTGTAGGCCTATATCTCGCGTGAGTGCAGAGCGATCGGTATGAGGGATATGACATTGGTCAGATAGGCTCTAGGCAGCAAAACATACCATAACACCCCATTTCTTTGCGACCATCAGGTGACGTCCCCGGAGCAAGCCGGAAACTAGACAAAAACCTCCAGGGCACCATGACGCAACATCCCAAGAATGTCCTAAAAATGTCCTCTGGGAAATCCCCGGGACAAACCGGGAACTAGACAAAACCTCCAGGGCACCATGACACAACATCCCAAGAATGTCCTAAAAACGTCCTCTGGGACATCCCCGGGACAAACCGGGAACTAGACAAAACCTCCAGGGCACCATGACACAACATCCCAAGAATGTCCTAAAAACGTCCTCTGGGACATCCCCGGGACAAACCGGGATCTAGACAAAATCTTCAGGGCACCATGACACAACATCCCAAGAACGTTCTGAAAACATCTTCGGGGACATCCCTGGGACAAACCAGGAACTAGACAAAATCTCCAGGGGACCATGACACAACGTCCTGACCACTTTAGACAACCATTTTGTGACGTTCCGGGGAAGTCCTAATTATGCATTTTTGTTTGCAGGGATACTCCTTCTGACATGACCTCCCCCTGCCTCAACTCAGAACGACCTCCCCCTGTACGATTCTATCAAACATGAATAAATGAAAAATAAAAAAGGTTGCAGAATAAAAAAAGAATAGGACAGAGAATAAATAGGAAACCCTGGGTGCTCCACCTCACTCACCTCTATTCCATATCTATCTGAACTCTGTCCTTTCCCTGGGGCTGGATTTACTCAGCCTTCACACCAGTGCACTGCTGCCTGCTACGTTCCTATTCTACAGGCTATAAAATATATCAGTTTGAACCAAGGGTAAAACAAGTGTTGGGAGACAGATAAGATCGGAAGGTAAAGTGTAAACAAAGCAGGTTCATGGTTCTGTATATTCAGGGGGAACAAAACAGAAGCGTTTCAACCAAAGGTAAAACAAGGATATTGGGGGATGGATAAGATCTAAAAGGGAAAGGGTAGATAAAGACAGTTTCATGGTTTTATCTTTGTTTTTTATTCCCTTTTGAAAAAGACGGGAGCAAACTTTGCATAGGTGCAAACACTTACCAGTGTCCTCTAATCTACCTTCCATTGACCATATTCTCCCCCTGTCATCATCAGTATTAGAATGAATTACACAGTGACTCCTGGGGGTGCTCTAGAAATAGTTGGCTGTACCAACATAAGAATGTGTAACTGTTATGGGGATGCACACCTTCAAATGCTTAATGTTTATGGGGGTGTCTGGATTTGTGATGGAGGTACTCAGAACCCCCTGGGTCACAATTATGACTGCCCGCTGTCTGTAAGTAAAGTGTTAGAGAAAGATCTTTGGCTGCTGCTGTGTGGTAAAGGAATTGGGACAGAATCTTGAATTCTTCATTCCCTCAATTTCCCTTTTCCATTTATTTCCATTTCCAGGAGTAAGAAAGATTGGATTCTAAATGGATCCTGTCATTCTGTGGTCACCCACTATTTCCCTTCTCTCTTTTCTTCTCCCTCTGTAGTTCCCGATTCCAATCAAACACTATGATATGATGTCCTTGTCCTTTTGTCCTCCCTCAGGTTACTAGAGTCATTAGTTACACTTGTTGACCTTTGTGTGCTCTGAGAGTACCTCTATAATGCACCTCTATATTGTCATTTTCAAACGGCTTTGCAAGACAGGAAGAACTCACATACAGTATACTCCTGTGGTCTCAGTGAGATGCTATTGAGGGTTTTCATTGAATTGGTGATGGACTGGGTTTAGTGCATCTGTGAAAAGGATAATTACATTGTAAATAACCTATTCACATGGTGTGAGAAATAATGCTGGATATTTGATTGAATCAACCAATGTGCAGGATTTTTCAAAATCACTAACCAGTAAAGGACATGTCGAATAAAACATTTCATGACAGGCCTGATGGAAACAGGAAATGTTTTGGTAAACTTTTCAAATGTCAAAATATGCTAGACAAGGTGGGATCTTTTTGTGTCGATGCTTGCCGTTTCACAAATAAAAACAATTTGGCTCTTTGGTCCATAATAATCTCATTATATATGTGAACTCTAGCCAACAGCACGCAGATAACATAGTGGACACATTCGCTATATAACGCAACATTCTTTGTGAAAATACCATCAGTAGAGTTGAAAATGCGATGGAAACCTATTTAACTTGTATTTTTTATTCGGTACATGGGAATTTAACCGCAAAAGGTATTTTTATGTGCACTACATCATCACGCACAGCCTTTTATCTGCAACAAGTCAATTTGATGGAAACATCTCTGTTGGGGAAAATGCGCATATTGCTTTTTTGCGGATGTTAGAATATTTGCATGAAAATCTGTCGCCAATTGGATGGAAACCTAGCTTCAGAGGCTTTTTTTAAACTGTACATCCAGCGTTTATCAGGTGCTTGGTGAAAATATGGTTGAGATGTGGCACAAATAACGATAAACCTTCCCTTTTATTTGGAGGCAACAGACAGTGTGTGGGTATCCTTTTTTGACTATGAGGATTGGTTTGGGAGTTATAAGAAATTATATAATAAAAACCCCTCACATGTTTGAATCTGGCTTTGGTGAAAACTGGCACAAAAGGTACTTATGAGTATTCATGAGGAGTAAGATGCTTTGATGACAGGACTTTTGGTTGTGTGCCATGTGTATGTCATTGTCAAGTCTGACTAACTGACACATTAATTGATAGTAAGCTGTGATTTTGAGCTTTAGCTCATCAAAAGGTAGAACATCTGCACACCAATCTTTCTAAGGGGCAACACAACCCACAAGATGAGAAGCAATGTCGAGTTGATAGAAATAAAGTAATATGCTTTTAACAAGTATGTAAAAAAAAAAAAAAAAGAGGTGCACAGTATACTTCAAAGTGAACTACAGACGCATTATGACCTTTTTGTTCACTCTGTGTTTGTGGAGCGTATGTTTTCAGCAGCTCATGAAACGAAGGGAGTTGCCCACCTCTGGTCAAAGGGAGTTGCCCAACCTTTGTCTAGGGGGTTTCCCACCCCTGGTAGAGGGGGCAACATCAGTCTATTCTTCCTCTATGCCAAGGGAGGAGCTGACTACAAAGCTCCTTCTCCCTCAGTTCCAGGAGAAACCAAGCCTTGATCTGTCTATCTGGAGCAGAAGAATACTGAAACTTTTGATGAGTGTCACTGAAATGCTTTGTGGATGCTGCCTGCAAACGCACAAACGTTCACCTTTCAACTTCTCCTCTGACGCACTAGTCACAGTGACTGGGTCCCATGTGGCTCAATTGGTAGAGCATGGCACTTGCAACGCCAGGGTTGTGGGTTCGATTCCCATGGGGGACCAGCACGCAAAAGTATGACAATGTCTGCACTCAGTATTGTAAGTCGCTCTGGATAAGAGCGTCTGCTAAATGTAATGTTTGAGGTTTCAGCAGTCAGAGAGCAGGGGAAATGAACAGAGACCCACACACACACAAGGGGGAACCCGAGACAAAGCATAAATTGCAATTTGAGCTTCCATCTCTCCTGTCGTGCTTGCCACAGCGTGTCAGGGAGGGTTATGAAAACGGGCAGCCCAACTTTGAATGGCTATGTAGCGGTAATCAAACCAAGGCCTTTGAAACAGATGGATTGAAATCAGCACTTTCATCTGTTGATATTGCTTTTTGAGTCAAAGTGTGACTAAGGAGAGCATAAGCTCTAAGTTTTGTTTAATGAAAAAGGGATTTAAAAGATAACCATTTGAAAAGATATCCATTTTTCTCCATCCTTTAACATACAGAGGGTGTTTGAATTTGAGTCAGTGAGTAGAGTTGCATTCTCTCAGAAGATATTTCACTTAATCATTTGTTTTGGTTCTTATATACAGCTTTATCTATTTTCCTTTTTGAAAATGAAGCCTTCATAATGCCTTTTATAAGCCCTACATAGATGGTTCACAACTCATTTATAAGCAAATGTCATACTGAAGAGAGTGAAGTCCACACTGTATGTAGGTTGCTCTGCCAAATGTAACATCACCACTATGTCATACCCTCACAAAGCTGCGCTTTACAAAGGGTGAGCAATGCTATCTTTGATTATAGCAATTGTGACACTTTCTTATTCCGTCTCTCTCTATCTCCTCCCAGAACCGCTTCCACTTGCAGATGGTTACGAGGATCCCCCCGTCAGGCCTGTCAGAGCTGCTGCTGACCATCCTCCAGCGGAGCGGCTGGCAGGAGGGCATGGCTGTGCTGTGCCAGGGCTGGGAGGAGGCTGGCCTGCTGGAACTACTGGATCTCCAGAGCCGCCTTGGCTGGGGGGCCACCCGCTGGCACCTCCGAGCCCTCCTCAACCTCACCCGGGCCGGACCCACAGAATCTGAAATCCAGGACTTCCTTTCGGAACACTTCCGGGGGCAAGGCCCAAGTCAGATCCCGCCGCCGGCCGCGGTGCTGCTGTTCGGGGCCGACCCGGAGTGTGCAGCGGCGGTGCTACGGAGCGCCCAGGACTTGGGGCTGACGCTGCCCACAGTGCACTGGGTGCTGGGCTACCCGCTGAGCCCCGACGCCCTGCACTCAATCGGCCTGCCCCTGGGGCTGCTAGCCTACGGTGAGGTGGAGCGCAAGCCGCTGGACTTCTACATCCGCGACGCGCTGCAGCTGGTGGGCCGGGCGGTGGCAGCGGCCACAGTGGTGCGTCCTGACCTGGCGCTCATCCAGAACATGGTCAACTGCTACGACAAGCCCAACAAGCATGAGGTGCCCTCGTCTGGACAGTACCTCGCCAGGTAAAGCTGGTTTACTTTTAAACTTTTAACTCACAAAGTCTCTGGAGGTTTGAAGGATTATATTGCACACATACACACATACTCACATTAAGATTGAGATCACTTTATTGGTCAATTGCACATAACGTCCAACTGAAATCTGACTTCCACTTTTAACCCAACCCCCCGAAAGACACACATACATACACAGGATTTGGAGAGCTGCGGGAGGCTGCCATACTGGGTGCCCAGAGAGCTGTTGTTGTGGGGGGTTAAGTGCCTTGCTCAAGGGCACAGCGGCAGCCAACGGCATCTATGATTTAATACCAGCAACCCTCCGGTTGCCAGCTCTCTTCCCAACAGATTTTTCCTGTCGGACCCGGGATTCGAACCGGTTGCTGACTCGCTTCTCTAACCGCTAGGCTACCTGCCGCATGCATACATACCTGCCACATACATACTGTACATACATACATACATGTTTCTTATACTTAAATACTGTGTATACATCAGTGGTGGTCAGTGCCGTTTAAGATGAGGGAGGACAACATTTTTTTTTCATGAGCATGGCCTTATTTCTATTATAGCATATTGGATGACTGTCATTCATATTCCATTCACCCAGTTCAATGTAACATTGATAGGTTTAAGCTACTACATGATACTCCAATTTTCCCTATACCCATCATGAGGTTGCTACAACCTAGCCTATAAATGTTTTTCAACAGAATCGGCAGAATGAATACACCCCTGGTCATGGGTAAACAGTTCACATTCATAGCAGCCACGTTGTATTCCTTCTCGCATCTATGCGCTCTCCTCTCACCTTTTTTGTGGACTTCAATGCACAACACATCAGCTGTATGTGACCAGGCGAAAAAACCTTTCCAAGCCAAACCGTATCATAACTACTACACACAGCCTACATCGTTGTCACCATATTAAATAACGTCATAGTCAACATAGCTAATAGAACTACAGTAACGTGTTAGTAAACCCGCTACAATCATGCAGTAACTTTACAGTGTATAATCAGTTAGCAGTTTAGCAGTTACACCGGCGGGCCCCGGTGGCAATAAATCAGTAGAACCAAAAGCTTACATTGACTTGGAAGAGTTCCAGTGTTGTGTTGGATAGTCATAGCCAGCTAGCTAACATAGCATCCCTCTGTTTGAGCAGGGTTTTTGAGTAGGCTAAACTAGCTAGCTGCATTTGCTAGCTAAGTAAGTTCAACTGAAAGTAAAAAAAATAAAATAAGACAATCTCTCTCTTGCTTCTCCTTCATTTTTGATGAAATTAATTTGTTCAAAACTATTCAATTTTCTTTCTCTCTCTTTAAGTTAACTACTCACCACATTTTATGCACTGCAGTGCTAGCTAGCTGTAGCTTATGCTTTCAGTACTAGATGCATTCTCTGATCCTTTGATTGGGTGTACAACATGTCAGTTCATGCTGCAAGAGCTCTGATAGGTTGGAGGATGTCCTCCGGAAGATGTCATAATTACTGTGTAAGTCTATGGAAGGGGTTGAGAACCATGAGCCTCCTAGGTTTTGTATTGAAGTCAATGTACCCAGAGGAAGACGGAAGCTAGCTGTCCTCCGGCTACACCATGGTGCTACCCTACAGAGTGCTGTTGAGGCTACTGTAGACCTTCATTGCAAAACGGTGTGCTTGAATAAATTATTTGGTGACGTGACTATATTTAGTATAGTTTTATCTAAAAAGAATAACTTTTTAAATGTTTTGACATTTTAATTTTTATGAAATTCCTCCTCTTCCTCCCCTGGTATACATACATACTCTTACATCTCCTCCTTTCAGCCAAGTTGTGTCTGAATAGTGTTTTCGGGGAGATATTATTATAATAGACTTGTTTAGTAAGCGCTATAGACAGTTGAATAGTGGTTCTTTCCCAGTGTTTGCATGAGTCTGCAAATAGGCCTATCTCTTGCGGAGGTCAGACTGCTCGTCACCCCTAACCACAGAGCAGCTCTTCCAAACACAGTGATAGATGCAGCCTCCTGTGTTTGGAGAGAGGCTGGAGTGTGTTTGTACACACACATACATACACACACACACACATACAGACAGATACTCACACACGCGTATACACACACACTCTCTCTCTTCCTCTCTCTCACACACACACACACGCGTGTGCGCACCCAGCTGGAATACAAACATGAAGTGGAGGAGGGTAGAGCTTTAAGCTTTATTCATGAGTTCCAGTCAGTTGCCTCCACAACAGAGGAGCCAGCCAGACAGGCATGCTTCCTTATCAAAAGAGCCCACAGCCCTTTCTGCCTCTCAGTGGCTCAGAGCAGAGCGACAGCAGCACACAGCTTTACACCCGCTCTATCTGCCACGGACCAGAGTAACAACCGCCGCGCAACCTAGCAATGCAGCCAGCGTCTCAGCACAAAAACACAATAGGATGAGCTACAATTGGGCCCAATTGTACCCCGACTCAGCTAAAGCATGTTGGAAAAAATAATATAGCGGAAATGATGCAAGACAATAACTGGTGGGGGCTGGACTGCTAGAGCACTGGTGAATTGCATTTATTCATTGGCGAAAAAAGGCAAGTCATTTCCCCGTGGTGAGCACTAACCAGTAGGCTTCAGGAGTAGAGTTTGTTGCCTGGGGCTTCAACTCAGAGGCGAATGATTACAACATTACGGCGTCTCCGCGTATGAGAAACATTTTGGAAATCACCCCATTATAACAATGTTCAGTTCTACCAAGTCATTTAAGAGGGCCATCAAACGAATGGGATTGCACCGGGTGCCTAGTAAAGATCGACGATGTCGAGCTAAAGACGGCGTTTTGCTCAAGAACAACTCCATGATGAAGTGTCATAATCACAATGGCCCCTAGCTACATAACAGATACATAATAGAACAGCTATTAGAGAGAGAATTGGGCTTCGGGGAGGAAGGAATGGAATTTGAGAGAAATACATGAGGGATGATAGTAAGTAAAGAGAGGAGCGGTAGAGAGAAACCCAAAGGTACAGGTTGGGGGGGATGTGTGGGGGGCTTTTAAGTAATTACAACCTGTACCTACTGGTAAAGAGAAACGCATAGCCTTTCAATGTAACGATGTAATGGCATTCAGCTCCTTTTCCCTCTTGTGGAGCTGAGGAGAAGGAGGGGAGGTGGGGAACTATATAGGCTGGGATAGGGAGAAATTAATTACCTAAAGGTTTGGGGCCAAATTACCTTTTTCTGATTCCTCCATCTTTTAGATGAAAGGAGTTCAGCGGCGATCGCGCGGCGTCACCTCAATTATTAATGGCTGCACACATTCCTCATGACTCAACATGACGGTCACAGCTGCCCTGAATTTCCTGATGTGACCCCTTCGCTAGGCTAAGCTAACTAATTGGAGGGCTAACCACTATGGGCTAATGATTCGCTAAACATGGATCCGAGGCAGACATTTATGAACGGGGGCAGGTTTTTACATGGAAATACCTACTGGGCACAAACCGGTTGACTCAACATTGTTTCAACGTAATTTGTCAGCGTATTGTGATGTGGAATCTACGTGGATTTGAAAAAAGTAATCAACTGTTGTTTTGAGTGTGAAATTTCAACCACATGATTGTCATCATTGTAACCAATTTTCAACTTAGACAAACCATGTATAAAATATGTTGAATTTGTACCTTTCGAACAATGTCATATCTTCAACATTATACCCACTATAAAAAAATTTAATAAATATGTTTTGCAGCACCACCTATTGGAGAGTTGATCTACAACTATTCCTTTGGTCTCCCATCCAGGGTTTTAACCAAGCCCAGCTTTTATATTTGTCACTGACTACTACCAATGTGGTACATTGAGAATGATTGTTGAGAGACCTCTTAATAACTAAATATGTTCACTGTTGCTATCGAAGTCATTCCAAAAGGTAGGTTTAACAGAGCAGAAGACACATCTATCCAAGCAGAAGACACATATCCTTCAAATTTTGATATTTGGGTGCGTTGAAATGGAGACATGAATCCAACATATCAATGATTAATTTGTAGACAAACTGGAATTTGTTGTCAATCAAACACAATAAAATAATATTTTTCTAATACAGTAAATAGCCTAAAGCTAAGGCTATCTTACAAACGAATGTAACAGTATTTATTCAACCTTAAAACACATCCATGGCTACATTTTGAGGTTAGCCTACTGTAACTATAAATGTCTTCTTATGTAATCATAGAAAGCGTGCATGTTCAATATAACATGCAAACGTTGCAGGTCTGTGGAGATCTTCACAATTGCTATAATGATCTGTGCAGAATCTCAAACAGCATTGATCACTTGCACTATGTACTTTTAATGTAATCTCAACTGCAATCTGGGTCATTTGGTTGTGCTATTAGATGAAGCACAGTGATAACACATTAAGTTGTTGTATAAATACAAAATATCAGACATTGTATTCCCATTTAAACTTTGTTGTGCTTTTAAATGGTTGAAAGCGCAGATAACACATTTAGATGACAACTAAACCAAAAATCAGACATTGTTCTTCCATTGGAATTTGGTTTTGCTTTTAGATGGTAGAAAGCATAGTGATAACACATTGGGAATTCAACAAACTTCTGGCTGTCTTTTTGAGTGGGTGAATAAAGCTTGACATCTCACTGATCAATGTCTCAACCAAATATTACCAACATTTGAAATGTTGAAATGACGTGGTGTGCCCAGTGAGACAAAGTAGAGCCGGGAGTTTACAGTCTGTGAGGAGGCCCAAAGTGTGTCAGTCAGAAAGATAGCTAATCCTAGCCACGGGAAAACAACTAGCTGTCAGTCAGGGCTGTGATGATACACTGTTGGCCTTGCTGCAGGAGCAGGGTGGATTAGTTTGGCTTCAATAGATGCTAATCCTGGTTTTGACATGTTGTACTACAGTACCGGTTCCTGTCTAGACTGTGCTGCAGGTCAGATGTGTCACTGTCTGCGATGCAGTTCACTGTCCATCCATTTTCTACAGTAAGTTTGAAACTGTACAGTCTGACTCACTCCCCCTCTGGCAAGAAGTTTGTGGAGTCCATACATGCCCCTCCCCCCACCACACCATAAGAAATAATCTGTGGGAAACACTGGTGATTTATTATGCACTGGCTTCGGACTCTCACAAATGCATGCAATAAAAAGCCTGAAGGATAATGAAGTCCTGTAATCTAATGTGATCTCCTCTGGCCCATAGATTCCTGTCTAACACATCGTTCTCAGGGCTGACGGGGCCGGTGTCGGTGCAGAGGAACCTGTCCCGGGTTCTCACCTCTCAGCGCTTCCACATCTGGAGCCTGCGGCGGGATGCGGTGGGCCAGCCCACCTGGGTGACGGTGGGCAGCTGGGAGGGGGGCCGCCTGAAGGTGGAGGACCAGGGCCTCTGGCAGGGGCCCAATGGCAAGGGCCATGGCCTGGGGGAGGGGGGCGGGGGCCGGTGGCAGGCAGGCATGCCTGTGGCAGACAGCCGGGTGCGGGTAGTTACCCTGGTGGAGCACCCCTTTGTATTCACGCGGGAAGTGGATGAGGACGGGAACTGCCCGGCCGGACAGTACTGCCTGGATGCAGGGACGAACAGCTCGGACATGCTGGAGCGCTACTTCAGCGAGCGCGCCTCGGGAAACTCTACCTTCCTGCCCACGGACCACAGCAAGTGTTGCTATGGATACTGCATTGACCTGCTGGAGAAACTGGCCGAGGACTTGCGCTTCGAGTACGACCTGTACATCGTGGGTGACGGGAAGTATGGCGCGTCGAAGAGCGGCCGCTGGACAGGGCTGGTGGGCGACCTGCTCAATGGCGTGGCCGACATGGCCGTCACCTCATTCAGCATTAACTCAGTGCGTAGCCGTGTCATCGACTTCACCTCACCCTTCTTCTCCACCTCGCTGGGCATCCTGGTGCGCAGCAAGGACACAGCGGCGCCCATCGGCGCCTTCATGTGGCCCCTTCACTGGTCCATGTGGGTGGGCATCTTTGTGGCACTGCACATCACCGCCCTCTTCCTCACCCTCTATGAGTGGAAAAGCCCTTTTGGCATGACGCCACACGGACGCAACCGCCTGCGCGTCTTCTCCTACTCGTCGGCACTCAACCTGTGCTACGCCATCCTGTTCGGCCGCACGGTCTCCAGCAAGACTCCCAAGTGCTGGACGGGTCGGTTTCTGATGAACCTGTGGGCCATCTTCTGCCTGCTGGTGCTGTCCAGCTATACAGCCAACCTGGCCGCCGTCATGGTCGGCGAGAAGACCTTCGAGGAGCTCTCGGGGATCCACGACGCCAAGGTGAGACCCACACTAAATGGTTATTTTAATGTTGTCTGTATTTATTTGTTTTGATTATTAACTCTTTCCTCTCCCTTCCTCCCTAGCTCCACCACCCGTCCCATGGTTTCAGGTTTGGGACGGTGAGAGAGAGCAGTGCAGAGGAGTACATGAAGAAGAGTTTCCCAGAGATGCACGAGTACATGAGGCGCTACAATGAGCCCACCACACCTGATGGAGTGTCCACCCTCAAGTAAGAGATCACAACATATACAACCCTTCTCCTGGAGAGCTACAGGCCTACACTCACATACCCGATTCAGCTAATCAAGGTCCTAATGAGCAGCTGCTTCTGAAGTAGGTTTCCAAGAGTAGGATTGTCCATGGCACCCCTGCTCTATAGCCGTAGAAATGCTATTTAAATGCACGTTAACCTAAGTTTGATCGTATTCATGTGAGTGTTTATAAGTGTTGTTGAAGTTATTTGTCCAGAGGTGGATAAAGTAGAACACTTTCTGTTCTGTCAAGAAAGAGTTTTTAATTATTTCTGTCTTCTTCTCACCTTCCTACGGGAGAAGTGTTTGTTGTGGTTCTCAGGCAAAGGTCTGTCATCCAGGCAGACAGAAGAGAAAGGCAAAGGAGAGCAGAGCCCAGTGGTATTGCTTCAAAACAAGATGACATGTGAAAGGGAGCACACATAAACAAAATGGCTCTCTACACAGGGTTGCAAAGTTGAACTTGAGATGGATGAAAGAGGGTTATAGTTCAATTCAGACGAGGCGAGAGAAGACTGCTGGCATTTGAGCTTTTGTGTGTTACTGTATGGAATGTGGATCCTCCTATCTTTGCTTTGTTAGATCTTTTGACTATGTTAGCCAGTAGCCACATACAGATATTTGTTTGTATTGTGTTGCAAATACTTACTTAAGGGTCCATCCATTTGAATTCAACGACTTTTTGACAGCACCTCTTTTTATTTCAACGAAACCTTCCATAAGTATTTGCCCATTGTAGAAGTGCTCAGAAAGTTACTTTTTGGACCTGAATGCCAAAAACATTGAAGAGATAAAGGTGCTCAAAGTTGACCTATTTTGCATACCCCACCATACCATGAGACATCCATGTCTTCATCACTGGAAAAGATAAACAGTTGAGATTTATAAAAATTAAAGCTTACAAACAAGGTTGTCGAAAAATTTGTAATTTCTTGAAAAAAAAGCTTTTTAATAAAATTTGTCATATTTTTACCTTAAACGTCAATTATCTTCGGGGGGGTTTTCATATTCGCATATGTAGTAGCTTAGACCATATTATACTTCATCTGAGGTTTTTGTGTTGTGCCCGCTATCGGCTGAGATACAACATGCTCTTGAATACAGGGTGGGTGTCATGTTTTGGCTGATAAATTAACTAAAATGGGAATAAAATAGAAATGTAAACTTTGAAATTGTACCACAAAGATGTTTTGAGGTCCACACATCAGATAATATTTACTTGAATGGGAATATCTGTTGGTTTAAATGATACTGTCAATTATCCATAAGAAACCTATTGAAATCGTAGAAATATAATATATAATATACATGACAATTTAAGTTGACATTCGACGGTGGGTGGACCAGTGGCCATCTTTATGATAGTAATTAAAAGTTACAATTTCAATTTGAATTACATTTCAATGGAGCACCAGCTAAATTGCAGTGTTCTGAAGGAATAGGTCCATTCTACAAATTATATTTCTATGATTGAAATTACATCCACCCTGTATTTAAAAGCATGTTGTGTCTCAACCGATAGTGGGCTCAACACAAACACCTCAGATGATGTAAAAATAGGTTCTAAGCTACAACATATGCGAATATGAAGGGAAAAAACGGAGTTTGCGTGTTTTTAGATCATTGACATTAAAGGTTAAAAATGTCATAGTTTTTCATTAAAAAACATTTATTTTACAAAATTATAAAACTGTTTGACAACCCTGTTTGTAAACTTTTAAATGATATCAAAGTCAACTATTTATCTTTTCCAGTGATGAAGACATGGATGTCTCATGGTATGGTGGGGTATGGAAAATGGGACAACTTTGAGCACCTTTATCTCCTGAATGTTTTGGCATTCAGGTCCAAAAAGTCACTTTCTGACCACTTCTTCCATGGGCAAACATATATGTAAAGTTTTGTTTAAATCAAAAGGGATGCTGTCAAAAAGTGATTGAATTGAAATGGATTTACCCTTAATTACACTTGTGGGAGTTGGCCTATATGGGTAGGGCTAAATTGAAATGTTTCTTACAGAAGAAAATACGGAACGCATATGCATAACCATTGTAGAAATTAAAAGGGAACAGTTTGGAGATTATGGGACAAATTATTAGACTAAAGGTGAGGACACAACAGTCCAAACATTACACTGTTGATTTTATGTGCATTTTACATTTACTTTACTTTTTGCCGCATTTGTTTTTGAAAATACTCTAGATACATTCATTAACATGATACGAATATTCTTGGAACATTTGGGGTAGGTGCAACATAAGACAAGAAAATAACAAGTGTTTGAGTGAGAGGCCTAACTGGTGTCTCCAAGTGGCCACACACCTCTCCAAAGTGTGCACAGTTCCTAAGTCATTTCAATGCACTTTTATGACTCAAAGAAGAGTCTTCAACTATAAGGTGCTTTTCTGAGCTCTCCTAGCTGTGCTGTTGATGAACTAGAGCAATCACACACTTGTAGTTGTTTTCTTTGGAACACAACCCTGCATCCTCGCCTTTACACAATTACTGTTGTTGTTTACACAATTCAAAAATGGTGCATTATAAATCGCAATCTGGGTCAGGTGAGCATTATTTGATAGCGTGATCTATTGCCAACATGACAAGCTAAATGATCAAATACGATATTACAGTGTTAGGCTTTTACTAGGCAATTCAGAGAAGCAGATCGTAATAGAATGGAGTCATGAGTGCATTCAGATGCGTGGTCCGCGGCAACTTTTCTTTACAATAAAATTAACATAGGGTAATTCTGTTCAGGACAGTCCAGGGTGTAACGCCATGTCATCTTGTAACTGTACATCAAACATAGTGTTCATAAACGTTGACACTGTATACATACGTTTTATGATATGGAAATGTGAAGTGCATATTTGGACTCACGGGTGTTTGGCTTGCTTGTATGACATAAAAGCGGTATTTATTATAATCAACAATGTCGCATCTTTCAAAATACATTGAGTCCTCGTAATTTACAGTATTACATTTGCAAAAGTAGCCCAATTAGCGGGAGGAATGGTGGCAACCTCTTGTCACGCGCAGTGCTCAAGTTCAGAACGGCTGTCAGTCAAAACCCATACAGCGCTGTGAAGCTGAGAACCTGAGCTCTGACATCATGTATAGCATGTTACTGTACAGCCACTGCATTCCAATGTAGGCGCTTATCAGTGTCCAAATGTGCCATTTTCAACCGGATACAGGTACAAGTGTAAAGGGCTACTCCTATTCGTCCCTGGAGGAACATAGGGCCTGTACTAAAGTTTTCCATTGTTGCTGTATTCTTTGCCTCAGGCCATGACAAGCGGATCTTCTTGAGTTCTGCTTCTAGACACCTGCGCTTGTTGGACGTCCTCTTCTTCACTTGCCTTGAGGATTCCAATCCTGGGCATGTTTTGCAATGTTCTCCGGGCCTCTCTGGACCGTGTGACCAACCCGTCTCCACTTCCGCTCCTGGATGGTGCTCGAAACGGGCTTCTGGTTGCTTTTCTTCCACAGGTCTATATTAGAGATCCGCTCAAGCAACCATATGAGTGAGCAGGATTTGTCTGAGGCAGGAGTTTACAAAGACCTGTAGCTTGTGTTCCAGGCTCTTAATCAGTTGCAAAATAACTCAATACAACTCTTCTAAGTGGATGGTTTGATTAAACAACCAAAGTGCCAGAAAATTGCCAGTAATATTCACTGTTGATTTCTTACCCAAGAGGTCATCCACCCCTTACAATTGAAGTCAGAGGATTCGAGAGCTGACACACATGATAATATGCAGTTTTGACATCTTGAGCCTCCATTACGATAGTTCCCATGACCCATAATCCTCTCTGGTACAGCTAATGTGCCTAGTCAGGGGTCACGCCATAAAATAAGTTGAGTGCCTGATTTGGGTGTTCTCCCATTTTGCCATTGCCTCAATCAGTGTACTCTGCATTCATTCCAGTCTTGTTTGGTCGGACAAGCGATGAATGGCTTTGCTTTACCATTCTCCTTCTGCCCAATTTCTCTAGCGGACTGATTCTGAGTCCCCCATTTACACTGAGACATTAAGTATAATCATGATGGTGACGAGGGTCATGTGCTAAATCTGGAATGAGGGAGGAAATGTCCCCAAGGCCGGATGAGGGACAGAGACGAGTGTTTGTGGCGATTGGTAAAAGGTTTGTTAGGGACATAGCCTGTTTGGTGTGTGGTGCGTAGGATTGGGACATGATCTATTTCAAACTTGGCCTGTTTGGTTTGTGGCTATTGGGACGTGTTCTGTTTGGTGTGTTGTGATTGGGACTTGGCCTGTTTGGTGTGTGGCGAATGGGACGTGGTCTATTTGGTGTGTAGGCCTAGCGTTTGGGACATGACTTTTGTCATACGTTTTGTGGTGCGTTCCATTGTCCCCTGTTCTCTGTCTATAACCCCTTCTCCCTGTGTGTTGAAGGGTAGATCCCCCTCAGCTTGATGCCTTCATCATGGACAAGGCCCTGCTGGACTACGAGGTGTCCATCGACGCAGACTGCAAGCTGCTCACCGTGGGCAAACCCTTCGCCATCGAAGGTAAGAAACCGCTGTGCACCCCAACACTGTATTGTTTTGATAGCTCTCGAACTTAGCGGCTGTAGTGCCCTTATCTTCTGTTGTGTGTGTGTGTATGCGTCTGTCTGTCTGCCTGCCTGTGCATGTTTATGTGTATGTGTGTTACAGTGTATGTGTTACAGTGTACATCTCTTTTTACGTGTGTGTGCGAGTGTGTGTTTGCTTGAGTGCCCTGGTGTAGGTGGGCATGCACTTGCTTGCCTGTGTGTTTGGATTCCCCGTCCTCTCCCTGTTTTTACGTTCGTCCACATCTCAAATTAACATTATTTTGATTTGAATATGTAATTATTCAAATATATTTGCTGCTATTTTATCTGAATCAACATCACACCCCTGTCTCTGAGAGCTGGTGCAGGATTATGAGAAATAAGTGGAAATAGACTCCCACGCCTTTCTGTTTTTGTCTTTCTGCATTGGTGCTCCCACATTGTCAACGCATTAAGGTTATCTTTTCACTGTCAATATTTTTTATAGCAGTTAGTAGTGGGTTCTGGAGACCCACAAGGTGTGCAGGCTTTTATTCCAACCCTGCATGAAACGGAAGGAAACAGCATGAAACAGCATGAAATGGAGACATACTAGTATCTGAACTAGTAAGAAACAAGTTTTCTGTTGAACAAAACGTAATTTGTGTGCCTTAATAACACAACCCTAATTCAGTTGACCAAGGTCTTGATGAGTACTTGGTTATCTGTATCAGATGTATTTGTGCAGGGATAGGACAAAAGCCAGCACGCCCTGTGGGTCTCAACTTCAACCAGGATTGAAGAGCACTGTTTCAGAGAAGTATCCCTCCCTGACACTGACTCCCCCAATCTTGCATACGTACTGAGATACAGAAGCAAGGAACCGGGCTGTAAACTTTAGCTGTCATAAGATATTGATATGGCTTATTGAGTTTCCGTGGAACACCTCACTTTCATTTGAGAGGTGGGGAGCGGTAACAGGAGGGATGGGGAAGAGAGGGAACAGTAATGGAAGAGGCTGTCATCTGGACGCTGTTTTTATTAGCCTGAAAGGGCAGGCCTGCGGGGTTGGCTATGTAGAACGTCAGCTCATGCTGTGTATTCAGATTCATCACTGGGCAGGATGCACATACACACACAGATACACACACACACTCCTGATTGGCTTTTTACCTTTTCCTCCTGACATTTTAAAACCGTGAGAGTTGTTCCATGTCATTTCAGCAAGCCATGACACCCACCATCTCAGATTGTTCTGAAATTGTTTATTTAGTAAGAAACAGGTAAGATTGGCATTCCTGAAACATTATTCTGTTGAAATAAAATGTTATCGCTGATAAATTAAGCTAATTGAGTGCACCCAAATTGCCCATTTAAATTTTTAAGATTCAGATAATGTCCAATAAATATAGTACCCCACATCCAATTTGGACCAAACCTTTTCCTATTAATGAGTAAGACATGAGAAATCCCCCCCCAAAAAACAATAGCCACCCACGGACCCACCACACCCCATGCCAATCCCACCCCAACAACCAGTATACAGTATCAATTCTCTATGTTTGACAAGTAGTATGAAGCTGCGACATGGAGCATTGCTTCTCCATACTATGTAATATACAGTGCCTTGCAAAAGTACTCATCCCCCTTGGCATTTTTCCTATTTTGTTGCATTACAACCTGTAATTTAAATGGATTTTTATTTGGATTTCATGTAATCGACATAAACAAAATAGTCCAAATTGGTGAAGTGAAATGAAAAAAATAACTTGTTTAAAAAAATTCAAAAAAATAAAGAACAGAAAAGTGGTGCGTGCATACAGTGTGGAGAACAAGTATTTGATACACTGCCGATGTTGCAGGTTTTCCTACTTACAAAGCATGCAGAGGTCTGTAATTTTTATCATAGGTACACTTCAACTGTGAGAGACAGAATCTAAAACAAAATTCCAGAAAATCACATTGTATGATTTTTAAGTAATTAATTTGCATTTTATTGCATGACATAAGTATTTGATCACCTACCAACCAGTAAGAATTCCAGCTCTCACAGACCTGTTAGTTTTTCTTTAAGAAGCCCTCCTGTTCTCCACTCATTACCTGTATTAACTGCACCTGTTTGAACTCGTTACCTGTATAAAAGACACCTGTCCACACACTCAATCAAACAGACTCCAACCTCTCCACAATGGCCAAGACCAGAGAGCTGTGTAAGGACATCAGGGATAAATTTGTAGACCTGCACAAGGCTGGGATGGGCTACAGGACAATAGGCAAGCAGCTTGGTGAGAAGGCAACAACTGTTGGCGCAATTATTAGAAAATGGAAGAAGTTCAAGATGACGGTCAATCACCCTCGGTCTGGGGCTCCATGCAAGATCTCACCTCGTGGGGCATCAATGATCATGAGGAAGGTGAGGGATCAGCCCAAAACTACACGGCAGGACCTGGTCAATGACCTGAAGAGAGCTGGGACCACAGTCTCAAAGAAAACCATTGGTAACACACTATGCCGTTATGGATTAAAATCCTGCAGCGCACGCAAGGTCCCCCTGCTCAAGCCAGCGCATGTCCAGGCCCGTCTGAAGTTTGCCAATGACCATCTGGATGATCCAGAGGATGAATGGGAGAAGGTCATGTGGTCTGATGAGACAAAAATATAGCTTTTTGGTCTAAACTCCACTCGCCGTGTTTGGAGGAAGAAGAAGGATGAGTACAACCCCAAGAACACCATCCCAACCGTGAAGCATGGAGGTGGAAACATCATTCTTTGGGGATGCTTTTCTGCAAAGGGGACAGGACGACTGCACCGTATTGAGGGGAGGAGGGATGGGGCCATGTATCGCGAGATCTTGGCCAACAACCTCCTTCCCTCAGTAAGAGCATTGAAGATGGGTCGTGGCTGGGTCTTCCAGCATGACAACGACCCGAAACACACAGCCAGGGCAACTAAGGAGTGGCTCCGTAAGAAGCATCTCAAGGTCCTGGAGTGGCCTAGCCAGTCTCCAGACCTGAACCCAATAGAAAATCTTTGGAGGGAGCTGAAAGTCCGTATTGCCCAGCGACAGCCCCGAAACCTGAAGGATCTGGAGAAGGTCTGTATGGAGGAGTGGGCCAAAATCCCTGTTGCAGTGTGTGCAAACTTGGTCAAGACCTAAAGGAAACGTATGATCTCTGAAATTGCAAACAAAGGTTTCTGTACCAAATATTAAGTTCTGCTTTTCTGATGTATCAAATACTTATGTCATGCAATAAAATGTAAATTAATTACTTAAAAATCATCCAATGTGATTTTCTGGATTTTTGTTTTAGATTCCGTCTCTCACAGTTGAACTGTACCTATGATAAAAATGATGGACCTCTACATGCTTTGTAAGTAGGAAAACCTGCAAAATCAGAAGTGTATCAAATACTTGTTCTCCCCACTGTATGTATTCACCCCCATTGCTATGAAGCCCCTAAATAAGATCTGGTGCAACCAATTACCTTCAGAAGTCACTTAATTAGTTAAATAAAGTCCACCTGTGTGCAATCTAAGTGTCACATGATCTGTCACATGATCTCAGTATTTATACACCTGTTCTGAAAGGCCCCAGAGTCTGCAACACCACTAAGCAAGGGGCACCACCAAGCAAGCGGCACCATGAAGACCAAGGAGCTCTCCAAACAGGTCAGGGACAAAGTTGTGGAGAAGTACAGATCAGGGTTGGGTTATAAAAAAATATCCGAAACTTTGAACATCCCACGGAGCACCATTAAATCCATTATTAAAAAATTGAAAGAATATGGCACCACAACAAACCTGCCAAGAGAGGGCCGCCCACAAAAATTCACGGACCAGGCAAGGAGGGCATTAATCAGAGAGGCAACAAAGAGACCAAAGATAACCCTGAAGGAGCTGCAAAGCTCCACAGCGGAGATTGGAGTATCTGTCCATAGGACCACTTTAAGCCTTACACTCCACAGAGCTGGGCTTTACAGAAGAGTGGACAGAAAAATGCCATTGCTTAAAGGAAAAAATAAGCAAACACATTTGGTGTTCGCCAAAAGGCATGTGGGAGACTCCCCAAACATATGGAAGAAGGTACTCTGGTCAGATGAGCCTAAAATTGAGCTTTTTGGCCATCAAGGAAAACGCTATGTCTGGCGCAAACTCAACACCTCTCATGGTGGCAGCATCATGCTGTGGGGATGTTTTTCATCGTCAGGGACTGGGAAACTGGTCAGACTTGAAGGAATGATGGATGGCGCTAAATACAGGGACATTTTTGAGGAAAACCTGTTTCAGTCTTCCAGAGATTTGAGACTGGGACGGAGGTTCACCTTCCAGCAGGACAATGACCCTAACCATACTGCTAAAGCAACACTCGAGTGGTTTAAGGGGAAACATTTAAATGTCTCGGAATGGCCTAGTCAAAGCCCAGACCTCAATCCAATTGAGAATCTGTGGTATGAGTTAAAGATTGCTGTACATCAGCAGAACCCATCCAACTTGAAGGAGATGGAGCAGTTTTGCCTTGAAGAATGGGCATAAATCCCAGTAGCTAGATGTGCCAAGCTTATAGAGACATACCCCAAGTGACTTGCAGCTGTAATTGCTGCAAAAGGTGGCTCTACAAAGTATTGACTTGGGGGGGGGGGGGGGGGGGGTGAATAGTTATGCATGCTCAAGTTTTCTGTTTTTTTTGTCTTATTTCTTGTTTGTATCACAATAAAAAATATTTTGCATCTTCAAAGTGGTAGGCATGTTGTGTAAATAAAATGATACAAACCCCCCAAAAAATCCATTTTAATTCCAGGTTGTAAGGCAACAAAATAGGAAAAATGCCAAGGGGGGAAAATACTTTCGCAAGCCACTGTTTTCCCTGTGAATCTGGTGATTTCTCTTCCCCCTGTTCAGAGAAATTAGTAATTGAAGTCACTTGCATTATTTACCTTAAAGTAGTGTGAAAGTACCAGGTTCTGACCACTAGATACTGCTGTTCCTGCTATACCGCCACAGTTCTATCAATTTTGCTGGTCTCTTGTGTTTATTAAATAGGTCACAACATTTTCTTTGCAACTTTGGGTAGAAAACCAATAGTTCCTTTTCAGTCAGTCACGCTGTATAACATAATATGGGAGTCAACGACCAATCATATTCACCTGAAGAAAACTGAAATCACAACCAACGGGCCAATGGATGCTGAGCCCGCCCTCGGAAGCCCCGCCTTCCTGGCTATAATAACGGGGCTCGCATCCATTTCCTAAATGTTTCGCTCTTCAGCTCGCCTGAAGGAAGAACGTGTCACGCAATTTGCTAACTGTTCAAGCACACGAAGACTACGAGATTCGGCTCCGACTTAGGTGTCTGTTAGTGGGGAGAGAGTACTCGTCCCCCTAGATGTTGCGAGTTTTGGGTCTTTGTATCGGTTTTGTGTTTGCTAAAAGCTAACTACTTTCTGCTCTGCTTGTGTAGCCAGTGCTTCCTTCAGTAAGATGGACAGTGGTAAAAGTAAGTTCAAAAAGGCTTACCAGCCTAGTTTGAACCTCTGACCGTGCCGTAGGGCATGTGGTTTTACAATGAAAATTAAAGAGACTCACGAGTGCTGTCCTGTTTGCCTGGGGTGGAAACACGCTCAGGAGGCTTTGGCTCAGACCAGTTCGTGTGACCATTGTCTTCGGCTGGGCTCAACGTCTGTTGGGCATTGGGCTGACTTTGTGAGACAGATTGGGGCTGCTGGCGAAGGGTCTTCCGGTGAAGCGACCTCGAGAATGGGGGAGAGCAGCAGCGGTGGTCGTAGTTGATAAGGGTCTCATCCC